AACGTTCCTGGGCATCCCCAGCCCAAGTGATCTGGGCTCCAAGCCTGACCTGCTATCCATCCCCAAATGCAGAGCAGGCTTTCACTCCAGGATGGAAAGAACTGCGGCCTCTTCTGAGCAGAGGAGACACGGAGCCGCCCCACCGGTGGGGAGGGGTCCAGAACACGGGAGCCAGGATTCCGATCTCGCCATCCTCCCTGCTCCCAACTCACCAGCACATTGATGTTCTCCTTCTGCGAGAGTAGGGAACGCACTTCCTCCACATCTCGGCTAAAGATGGCCTGGACCAGGGGCGGCTGCAGGGAGAACCGGCATTCAGGGAGCGGGCTGGAGCCGGAGCGGAACCGGGGTGGGGGTGGGGGAGCACCCAGGTTTGTGGGGGGGCGTCCGTGGAGGGGCTCCGTTCTGGGGATTCTGGCTGCAGCGGGCTCCCGCGGTGCCTCCGCCGGTTGCCAGGTCCCCAAGGACACCGGCTCGGTAGAGGGGAGCGCGGCATGGGGCGGGGCGGGAGCTGCGGGAGCCCCGGGCTCGGGCCCAACCTAGGCCGCACATCCCCGGGCTCGCGTGGCGGCGACGCCGAGCCCGGGAAGGAGGAAGCGGGGAAGGGCAGGAGGGCTGACCTGGTCCGTGATGCTGAGGATCCCCATGGCCCGGCCCGGGCTCCGTCCGCATCGAGCTCCCGGCGGCGGCGGCGGCGGCTCCACCGGGGACACGGAGCGGCCCAGGCGGCGGCTGCGGCGGCGGCTGCGGGGAGAGCGCGGCCCCGCCTACCGGGGGGCGGGCGAGCGGGAGGCCGCAGCGCTCTCTGGCGGCGGTCCTGGGCCCGACGCTCCCCGCGCAAACCGACCCGGACCGCCGCACTCTCCGCCCCACCCTGGCGGCCCCAGCAGCCCCTGCACCCCCGAACGCGCGCGCCCGCTCCCCGGTTTCCGCAGCCGGCCGCGCAATCCTCTCCGCTCCAGTCTGGCGGCCCAGGGGGTTCTCCACAAGACCCTAGCGGAAACCTGGGCCTTGGTCCCGCTATGCTTTCCAATCTGAGGACCGTACGGCTGGCCAGATCTCACCCAGCCGACGATGCTCCCGCCCGAGCTAACTCCTCCCGTCAGCTATTCCACACCCCGAAATCCCCCACAGACTAGGGGGAACTGGCAGGTCGGGAACTGAGAATGAGGTATGGCAATAGCCCCAGAGGGAGGGAAGACGTGTATCTCCACTGGCGGAGGGGTGAGTTTGGCAGAGAAGAAATAGCAGAAGTGCTCAAACTGCAGAGAAACCCCAAGGAGGATTCTACTGCAGAAAACACCCACAAAGAGGCCATGACAACTGGCAGGTGGAAGAGGCCGCCAAGACTAACAGAAGGGGCATTTTCCAACTCCTTAATGACTCCATTGCAAGGTGAAAGTGGAAAACACTCAACAAAAATTTCCCCCTAGAACAGCATGCGGTGCTTCCCCTCCTCCAATGGAGAGGCTGGAGAGCTGTCAGTTAGAGAAGGAATGAATGGAAGTCATCCCGGCCCAGAAACGGAAAAAAAAGGAAGACGAAAAGTGGAGACTGAAAAATTGGTACAATTTATAAAAGGTGATCCAGAGTCCTGTTCAGTTTCACAACTCAGTACATTGAAGGGAACATGTAATGGAAGAAGTGTAGCATGCTGGCATCCTGTCAAGTCTTTATATATAAAAGGCCTCCCTTGCTGGGAGAGGAAAAAATAAAAATACATTCTATTTCATTTTATTATTTTTTTGTGACGGAGTTTTACTCTCATCACCCAGGCTGGAGTGCAGTGGCACAATCTTGTCTCACTGCAACCTCTGCCTCCCGGGTTCAAGTGATTATCCTGTCTCAGCCTCCCGAGTAGCTGGGATTACAGGCATGCACCACCACGCCCAGATAATTTTTGTATTTTAGTAGAGACGGGGTTTCACCATGTTGGTCAGGCTGGTCTCAAATTCCTGACCTCAGGTGATCCATCCGCTTCAGCCTCCCAAAGTGCTGGGATTACAGGTGTGAGCCACCGTGCCCAGCAAAAATACATTTTAAAAAAAGCCTTCTCAGCCAACATGGTGAAACCCCGTCTCTACCAAAAACGTAAAAAATCAGCCGGGTGTGGTGGTGCGTGCCTGTAATCTCAGCTACTTGAGAGGCTGAGGCAGGAGAATCGCTTGAACCCGAGAGGTAGAGATTGTAGTGAGCTGAGACAGAGCCACTGCACTCCAACCTGGGGGACAGAGCCAGATGCCATCTTAAAAAAAAAAAAAAAAAAAAAAAAGCCTTCCCTTTGATTTCCTGCCAGAAAGATACTTAAGACACTAGTAACATTCCTTTTTCCTGTAGTGAAAAACTGCCTTACAGGAAATAAGGAATGAGAGGGAAATTTACCTATCGTATACACACACACACACACACACACACACACACACACACATTTATATATATACACATACACACACACACACACACACACACACAATTTTTTTTAGAGAGTCTCACTCTGTCACCCAGGTTGGAGTGCTGTGACCCGATCTCAGCTCACTGCAACCGCTGCCCCCTACCCCCCACCCCCACGCCGAGTTCAAGCAATTCTCTTGTCTCAGCCTCCCAAGTAGCTGGGATTACAGGCGCCTGCCACCATGCCCGGCTAATTTTTGTATTCTTAGTAGAGACGGGGTTTCAACATTTTGGCCAGGCTGGTCTTGAACTCCTGACCTCATGATCTACCTGCCTCGACCTCTCAAAGTGACGGGATTAGCGCAATCTCAGCTAACCGAAACCTCAGCCTCTTGAGTAGCTGGGATTACAGGCATGGCCACCACACCCAGCTCATTTTGTATTTTTAGTAGAGACAGCAGAGTTTCTCCATGTTGCTCAGGCTGGTCTTGAAATCCTGATCTCAGGTGATAGGCCCGCCTCAGCCTCTCAAAGTACTGGGATTACAGGTGTAAACCACGCGCCGGGCCTAGAATTTTTTTAGTTTTTACAGTATTGAAAATAAAAGTTGGCCAGGCACAGTGGTTCATGCCTGTAATTTCAGCACTTTGGGAGGCCCAGGCGGGCAGATCACAAGGTCACAAATTCAAGACCAGCCTGGCCAACATAGTGAAACCCGGTCTCTACTAAAAATACAAAAAAACTAGCTGGGCATGGTGGCACATGTGTATAATCCCAGCTACTCAGGGGCTGAGGCAGGAGAACTGCTTCAACTTGGGAGGTGAAGGTTGCAGTGAGCTGAGATCGCACCACTGCACTCCAGCTTGGGCAACAGAGTGAGACTTTGTCTCAAAAAAAAAAAAAGAAAAGAAAAGAAAGAAAGAAAAGACAAGTTAAACTATTGCCCAGGCAGGGCGCGGTGGCTCACGCCTGTAATCCCAGCACTTTGGGAGGCCAAGGCGGGTGGATCACGAGGTCAACAGATCTAAACCATCCCAGTCAACATGGTGAAACCTCGTCTCTACTAAAAATACAAAAAATTAGCTGGGCATGGTGGCACATGCCTGTAATCCCAGCTACTCAGGAGGCTGAGGCAGGAGAATTGCCTGAACCCAGGAGGCGGAGGTTGCGGTGAGCCGAGATCGCGCCATTGCACTCCAGCCTGGGTAACAAGAGCGAAACTCCGTCTCAAAAAAAAAAAAAAACAAAACAAAACAAAAAAAAACTATTGAAAAAACTATTGCCCAGTATGGTGGCTCAAGCCTATAATCCCAGCACTTTGGGAAGCTGAGGTGCATGGATCACCTGAGGTCGGGAGTTCGAGACCAGCTTGACCAATATGGAGAAACCCCACTTCTACCAAAAATACAAAATTAGCCGGGCATGGTGGCGCATGCCTGTAGTCTCAGCTACTCGGGAGGCTGAGGCAGGAGAATCACTTGAATCTCGGAGGCAGAGGTTGCAGTCAGCCAAAATCATACCATTGCTTTCCAGCCTGGGCAACAAGAACGAAACTTTCTCAAAAAAAAAGTTAAAATGTTGCTTAGGAGCAATCATTCTGTGATTCTGTGCACACACAAAAATTAAAAATAAATGAAATATTTCTTTAAACTTACCTCTTCCAGGAAGTCTCCCCTGGTTAACAGGCTCTTTTCTTTTTTTAGTTCTCCTTAACACTTACATACTTAGTTTATACTGCCACAGTCTGGTTTAAATTGTACACCTTTGTTTCTCATTTCACTTTTTTTTTTTTTTTTTTTTTGAGACGGAGTTTCACTCTTGTTACCCAGGCTGGAGTGCAATGGCGCGATCTCGGCTCACCGCAACCTCCGCCTCCTGAGTTCAGGCAATTCTCTTGCCTCAGCCTCCTGAGTAGCTGGGATTACAGGCACGCGCCACCATGCCCAGCTAACTTTTTGTATTTTTAGTAGAGACGGGGTTTCACCATGTTGACCAGGATGGTCTCGATCTCTCGACCTCGTGATCCACCCGCCTCGGCCTCCCAAAGTGCTGGGATTACAGGCTTGAGCCACCGCGCCCGGCTTTTTTTTTTTTTTTTTTTTTTTTTTGAGACAGGGTCTTGCTTTGTCGCCTACACTGGAGTCTTTTGCCTAGGCAGGAGTGCAGTGGCACGATTTCGGCTCACTGCAGCTTCAGCCCCTAACATGGACAATAAAATTTTTCTTTTTCTTTTTTTTTTTTTTTTTTTTTTTAGTTATGTTAACTTTATTTAATAGGCTGGTAGTCTCAAAAATCTTTCTCTTCACCGGGCACGGTGGCTCACGCCTGTAATCCCAGCACTTTGGGAGGCCGAGGCGGGTGGATCACGAGGTCGAGAGATCGAGACCATCCTGATCAACATGGTGAAACCCCGCCTCTACTAAAAATACAAAAAATTAGCTGGGCATGGTGGCGCGTGCCTGTAATCCCAGCTACTCAGGAGGCTGAGGCAGGAGAATTGCCTGAACCCAGGAGGCGGAGGTTGCGGTGAGCCGAGATCACGCCATTGCACTCCAGCCTGGGTAACAAGAGCGAAACTCCGTCTCAAAAAAAAAAAAAAAAAAAAAAAAATCTTTCTCTTCATCAGATATTTGCAAAATTTTTGGCCTTTGAACTTGAACCTGGAGCTTTACTCCATCTATAATATGATTTTCCTGTTGTAGTGTATTCTGAATTTCTTCTGAAGAAAACTGAACCCAACCCAAACCTCTGTGAAAACCAGTCTCCTCCTTGTCAAAAGGTACCATACGCTTTCTTTTTTTTTTTTTTTTTTTTTTTTTGAGACGGAGTTTCGCTCTTGTTACCCAGGCTGGAGTGCAATGGCGTGATCTCGGCTCACCGCAACCTCCGCCTCCTGGGTTCAGGCAATTCTCCTGCCTCAGCCTCCTGAGTAGCAGGGATTACAGGCACGCGCCACCATGCCCAGCTAATTTTTTGTATTTTTAGTAGAGACGGGGTTTCACTATGTTGACCAGGATGGTCTCGATCTCTTGACCTCGTGATCCACCCGCCTCGGCCTCCCAAAGTGCTGGGATTACAGGCGTGAGCCACCGCGCCCGGCTCAATACGCTTTCTTATATGGCCAAACTGTACAAAGTGTTCTCTCAGCTGACTGGACGCCACGGTCCAAGGAATTTTTCTCACAAAAGCAACTGGCCGACTGATATTTCTACACAGTGCCACAGCACCACTCGCTGCTAAGGCCGCCATCATTAGACTCAAATTGTTTTTATTTTTTTTATGAAAAAAATGATTTTGAGCTTTCTGAAGGCAAAGGTATATGTTAAACAGTTGTGTTTTGTTTTGTTTTGTTTTGTTTTGTTTTGTTTTGTTTTTTTGGCTCCAGCATATCAGTATACAGAAACAGGCATTTAATATTTGGTGATTGATGATGATGATGTTGATGAAGAAGCAGAAACGTAACAAAGGATCAAATGGATATGGATGTTGAAACTTGGCTATTGGGTATGATGGGCCTTCCAGAAAAGGCTAAGCTAGGATATGGCCCAGAGGATAGGAAGGAGGGGCATACACGGTCTCCATTACCCAAAATAACTCTTGGTAACCTGAGGAATTGGAGTCAGGGCTTGAGCTAGGGTCACGTGCCTGGGTCTGGCTAGAGGATGGAGGTGAACAAGAGAGGCTGCCAGCCTGGTTCTCTGGGCAACTGGAGGGAGGAGGAAGGGCTAGAAGAGTTATTTTTAATATTATTTAGAGCACCGAAAGAGGATTTCCCAGTAGGGAAAAAAAGGATGTAAGGTAGGTAACACTGATACTTTCAGGGCTCAGGGAGACACGCAGGGTGTGGGAGAAGGAGGCCAGAAGTGGTGAGAAAAGCCTCTTAGGTGGACAGTCCTTCTGGATTGAACAACTGCATTCATATTTGGGTAACTGTAGTCAGATGCCTGCCTATTTTTAAGTCTCAGTTTTCCTTCTCCTAACAATGTGAGGACTAAATGTGAGGATTCACCCTATGTACAGCCCTGTACTAACTGGTTGGGAGGTCAAAAATGAGAAGTAATGGTGTCAGCCAGGTGCAATGGCTCACGCCTGTAATCCTAGTACTTTGGGAAGCCAAGGCAGACGGATTGCCGGAGCTTGGGAGTTCTCGACCAGCCTGGGCAACATGATGAAACCCTGTCTCTACTAAAATACAAAAAATTAGCTGGGTGTGGAAGCATGCACCTGTAGTCCCAGCTACTCAGGAGGCTGAGGCAGGAGAATTGCTTGAACCTGGGAGGTGGAGGTTGCAGTGAGCTGACATTGTGGCACTGCAGTCCAGCCTGGGCGATAGAGTGAGACTCTGTTTCAAAAAAAAAAAAAAAAAAAGAGGTAATGGTGTCTCTTTATGAGGAGATTATAACTTAGTAGATGAACATACATATACATGTGAAAGAACTACAGAATAGAGGATACATGCTAGATTACATGGCACTATGTGTTTGTTCAATGTTGAAGGAAGGGTTCAGTCAGGGGGGTCTTCCTGGAGGAGGTGTGTTTTGAGTCAGTACTTGAAAGAAGTTGTTGAGGTTGAATGGTGGAGACATGGGAAGGAAATCAGTTGTTTCCAGTACAGGTAATAAACTAGGAAAGGTTTAAATGGCAGTACTTAGTTAAACTAATTAGTAGGGGCACAGCAAGTAAATTGGCTTGGCAGGCCTACTGGACCTTGGGGATTCTGTTAACAGTCAACTTCGTTAAGGCAGAGTGATAGTGAGGTGACAGTTCAGTTATGTGTCCCAGTTAATTTCTGTCTTTTAACCAACCAGATCCTTACTCCTCATTCAAAGCAGCTGTCTCACATGTATAAGCCCTTAGAGGGAGGGTGGGGCTGGAGTGGGATTGGAAAGAGTAAATCTGTCCTTTTATGTCATGTGCCCATCTGAAGGTGGCTCCAGATTACCGCTTGTGAACTGGAAGGAGATACCATACTACGGTAGTAAAGAGGAGGACTGGGGGATGTGGACATTTTAACAGGCTCTCTCTGGAGTGCTGAGGGGAAAAGAAGAGACCTTAGGAGACAAAATAAGTGAGATCATCCTCCAACTTGGGGTTTCCTGGAAGAGGATAAAATGAAAGGGCTTGGTGGCTCACGCCTGTAATCCCAACACTTTCGGAGGCAGAGGTGGGCGGACAATCTGAGGTCGGGAGTACGAGACCAGCCTGACCAACAAGGAGAAACCCTGTCTCTACTAAAAATACAAAAACTTAGCTAGGTGTGGTGGCACACACCTGTAATCCCAGTTACTCAGGAGGCTGAGGTAGAAGAATCACTTGAACCCAGGAGGCGGAGCTTGTGGTGAGCTGAGATCACGCCATTGCACTCTAGCCGGTGCAACCAGAGTGAAACTCTGTCTTTAAAAAAAAAAAAAAGGGGGCCGGGCACGGTGGCTCAAGCCTGTAATCCCAGCACTTTGGGAGGCCGAGGCGGGTGGATCACGAGGTCGAGAGATCGAGACCATCCTGGCCAACCTGGTGAAACCCCGTCTCTATTAAAAATACAAAAAATTAGCTGGGCATGGTGGCGCGTGCCTGTAATCCCAGCTACTCTGGAGGCTGAGGCAGGAGAATTGCTTGAACCCAGGAGGCAGAGGTTGCGGTGAGCCGAGATCGCGCCATTGCACTCCAGCCTGGGTAACAAGAGCGAAACTCCGTCTCAAAAAAAAAAAAAAAAAAAAGAGATCAAGACCATCCTAGTCAACATGGTGAAACCCCGTCTCTACTAAAAATACAAAAAAAAATTAGCTGGGCATGGTGGCGTGTGCCTGTAATCCCAGCTACTCAGGAGGTTGAGGCGGGAGAATTGCCTGAACCCAGGAGGCAGAGGTTGCGGTGAGCCAAGATCATGCCATTGCACTCCAGCCTGGGTAACAAGAGCGAAACTCCGTCTCGAAAAGAAAAAAAAAAAAAAAAAAGAAAATGGCTTTTGGTGATCACCCAATGGCTCTTGCTTACATGAAATCCAGAGAAGATGGGCTCAAACTTTTTTTTTTTTTTTGAGACAGAGTCTCCATCTGTCACCCAGGCTGGAGTACAGTGGCACAATCTCCACTTACTACAACCTCTGCCTCCCGGGTTCAAGTGATTCTTGTGCCCCAACCTCCTGAGTAGCTGGGACATGCACCATCACACCTGGCTAATTTTTTTGTTTTTGGTATGTTTTGTAGAGACAGGGTTTTGCCACTTTGGCCAGGCTGGTCTTGAACTCTGACCTCAGGTTATCCGCTTCCCTCGGTCTCCCAAAGTGCTGGGATTACAGGCGTGAGCCACCGTACCCAACCGATGGGCTCAAACATTAAATCAGTCCATATCCAATGGAAGTCCCCAGATTAATGCCAAACTCAAGGAGTAGGGGTATTGAAGGATTTATAGTGCTTCCAGAACCACCCTGTGCCTAGGTCAGATGTCTCTTCCACACTAATTAGACCAGCATTGCAACACAATCTTTTTGTTTGTTTTGAGACAGGGTCTCACTCTCATCACCAAGGCTGGGAGTGCAGTCGTGTAATCACGGCTCACTGCAGTCTCAACCTCCTGGGCTCAGGTGATCCAACTCAGACTCCCAAGTAGCTGGGATTACAGGTATGTGACACCATGCCTGGCTAATTTTTTTGTAGAAACAAAGTTTCGCCATATAGTTTGAGACAGGCTGGTCTCAAACTCTCAGGCTTGGACGGGTGCTGTGGCTCAAGCCTGTAATCCCAGCACTTTGGGAGGCCGAGGCGGGTGGATCACGAGGTCGAGAGATCGAGACCATCCTAGTCAACATGGTGAAACCCCGTCTCTACTAAAAATGCAAAAAATTAGCTGGGCATGGTGGCACGTGCCTGTAATCCCAGCTACTCAGGAGGCTGAGGCAGGAGAATTGCCTGAACCCAGGAGGCGGAGGTTGCGGTGAGCCAAGATCGTGCCATTGCACTCCAGCCTGAGTAACAAGAGCGAAACTCCATCTCAAAAAAAAAATACAAAAAAACTATCAGGCTCAGGTGATCCACTCACCTTCGCCTCCCAAAGTGCTGGGATTACAGGTATAAGACACCACGACTGACTACAGCAGTCTTTATTTACTTTACCCCCTGCCCCTCTCCACAACCACCACACACAGCACTTCTCAGGCAAAGCATTCCTGAAAGTGGAAAGTCAGGGAAATAGTGGGGCTCAAGAGGCACAGGCCCCCATGAGGGGTGGGGAGCTTAATGCGGGGCTCAGTGGTTGCTCTGTGCCCTGTGGAACCACCGGTTGGTTCTCCAGGTCCAGCCCAGCCCCATGACATTGCCCACCCAGCAGAGCCCTGACCCACTCACCTGCCAGGGCATACCCCCTGGGCATGATGGGATTGGTGAACCCTCCAGCCACGATGCCCTCAGGGAAAGCATTCCTGAAAGCATTCCTAAATCTTGACTGAAGATTTAGAAAGCAAGCAGAGGAAATGCTTGTACTGTAATAGCATCAACTTGAAATTCAACAGCAGGCACCACCATTCTCTTGCACACACCTAATTCTAGTCTCTCTAGTCTCTCTCTCTCTCTGTTTTTTTTTTTTTTTTTTGGAGAGACAAGATCTCACTATGTCACTCTGTTGCCCAGCCTGGTCTGGTCTTGAAATCCTGGCCTCAGGTGCTTCTCCCACCTCAGCCTCCCAAAATGCTGGGATTACAGGCATGAGCCACTGCATGTAGCGCAATCTCTTTCTAACTGCTTTCTTTCTTCCTCTCCTTTTTTCTTTTGTTTGCCTCACTTTTATCAAGCGCATTTTCTTTCTTTTTATTTTTTGAGACAAAGTCTCACTCTTATTGCCTAGGCTGGAGTGCAATGGTGCCATCTTGGCTCACTACAACCTCTGCCTCCTGGGTTCAAGAGGCAGGAGAATTGCCTGAACCCAGGAGGCGGAGGTTGTGATGAGCTGAGATCGCGCCATTGCACTCCAGCCTGGGTAACAAGAGTGAAACTCCGTCTCAAAAAAAAAAAAAAAAAAAAAAAAAAGAGATTCTCCTGCCTCAGCCTCCTAAGTAGCTGGGATTACAAGCATGTGCTACCATGTCTGGCTAATTTTTGTCTTTTTAGTGGAGATGGGGTTTCTCCATGTTGGTCAGGTTGGTCTCGAACTCTCAGCCTCTGGTGATGCGTCTGCCTTGGCCTCCCAAAGTGCTGGGATTACAAGCATGAGCCACCACACCCAGCCAAGGGCATTTTTTCTCCTCCTTGAATCATGAAAAGTAGCATAGTGATATTTAATTGCCTGGGTTTCTGTCCATGAGGTCTCACTCTTCATCAAGTGCATACTTTTCAGACAAAGATGGTTCTCTGTCCTAAAAATGTCTGATTCTTCCTACCTCGACTTTTTTCTATAAATATTAAAGGTAAAAACTATGCAGTTGTAACCCAGAGCTTGGAATGTTAATTTCCTTTCCCAAAAATGTAGAACACAGGACTAAGCACTTGTGGAAGCTACAAGTAATGAACAGTACTTTTTTTTTTTTTTTTTGAGACAGAGTCTCACTGTGTCGCCAGGTGCCAGGCTGGAGTGCAGTGGCACAATCTCAGCTCACTGCAACCTCCACCTCCTGGGTTCAAGTAATTCTTCCGCCTCAGCCTCCCAAGTAGCTGGGACTACAGGCGCACACCACCACGCCCACCTAATTTTTTTTTGTTTTTAGTAGAGACGGGGTTTCACCATGTTGGCCAGGATGGTCTCGATCTCTTGACCTCGTGATCCGCCCGCCTCAGCCTCCCAAAGTGCTGGGATTACAGGCTTGAGCCACCATGCCTGGCCAGTGCTTCTAACTATAGTCAAGGCCGAATATGATAAAGGTTCTTGTGATGGTTAATACTGAGTGTCAACTTGATTGGATTGAAGGATGCAAAGTGTTGTTCCTGGGTGTCTGTGAGGGTGTTGCCAAAGGAGATTAACATTTAAGTCAGTGGACTGGAAGAAACCGACACACTCTCAAGCTGAGTGGGCACCATCAAATCCACTGCCAGCGATGCTAGAAAGAGAAAGCAGGGTTGGGTGCGGTGGCTCACACCTGTAATCCCAGCACTTTGGGAGGCCGAGGCAGGCGGATCACCTGAGGTCAGGAGTTCGAGACCGGACTGGCCAATATGGTGAAACGCTGTCTCTACTAAAAATTAGCCAGGCATGATGGCGTGCGCCCATAGTGTCTGTAGTCTCAGCTACTTAGGAGACTGAGGCAGGAGAATTGCTTGAATCCGGGAGGTGGAGGTTGCAGTGAGCCAATATTGTACCATTGCACTCCAGCCTGGGTGACAGAGTGACACTCGGTCTCAAAAATAAATAAAATAAATATGACTTCCTAACGCTGCATAAAAAGAAAAGAAAGAAAATAAATAAATAAATAAATAAATAAACAAACAGAAAAAGCAGGCAGAAGAAGGTGGAAGAAGCTGTCTTGCTGAGTCTTCCAGCCTCCATCTTTCTCCCGTGCTGGATGCTTCCTGCTCTCGAACATCAGACTCCAAGTTCTTCAGCTTTTGGACTCTTGGACTTAACACCAGTGTTTTGCCAGGGGCTCCCGGGCCTTTGGCCACAGACCGAAGGCTACACAGTCGGCTTCTCTACTTTTGGGGTTTTGGGGCTTGGGCTGATCCAACATTGGCTTCCTTGCTCTTCAGCTTGCAGACGGACTGATGTAGGACTTTACCTTGTGATCCTGTGAGGCAATTCTCCTTTAATAAACTCCCTTTCGTATATACATTTATCCTATTCGTTCTGCCCCTCTAGAGAACCCTAATATAGGCTCTAAGAAGGGCGTTCAGAGGATCTGCAGATGCGCGCTGTAGACACGCCCACGAAGTCGTCTCTGTACCTACGTCTCGGGTCCTGTGACCACAGGCGACCTCAGTCCCGTGAACCATCTTTGCAGCTTCTCAAACGCACACCCCAGCGCCCTTTCTCGCCAGAGGTGTGAAACTACATCTCCCGACAGGCGGCGTTGTCCCCTTCCTTCCTCCCTCTCCCAGGCCCGAGCCATGGCAACGGCATGACGTGGGGTACCGTGAGCTGAGGGAGCAGCGGTCCCGGCTTCAGTTGTAGCCTACCCGGCAGCCTGGACAGGAGCAAGGCGAGAGGTGCTGCAGCCTCCCGCCGCCCCTGAGCTGGGGGGCCCCGAACCAGCCCGGCGGGTGCCTACTACCGCTCCTCCTTTGGAGTGAGGAGGGCGCAGCCGGTGTCAGAAAGGCGCAGGCAGGGTCGCGCGCATGGCCTGGGCGGGCGCGCGGCGGGTCCCGACTGGGACGCGCGCGGCGGCCAAGCGCTACTGCTGCCGGCTCTCGCTCCGCCCGGGCGCGCGCCCGGCCCCGCCCCCAGGCCCTTCGCCGCCGCCGCGACCAATGAGGTGAGAGGGAGGCGCGGGCGTCAGCGCCTGAGGGCAGGGGGTTGCTCCAGACGCCGGGGTTCCGCGGTGGAGGGGTGCTGTATACTGGGATGCAGGCGCGGCGGAGACCGACAGCAGTCATGCCCTGGGAGCTAATGTAGAGCTTTGGAGAATGCTTTTGCAAGTTGTACGAGAAGGGAAGTCCTCGGGGTGAGTGTCCAGTCTCTTCTTGGCCCTCACCGGCGCCCTAGCTATATAATGAACCCAGGGGGGCCCCGGGGGCGGTGATGCTTCCTGAGAGTCTTAGCTTGCGGCAGTAGCGTAGGCCCAGTCAAAGGCAACAGGCGCTTCCCGCACATCCCGTTTTTCTCATTCCCCACCCCCAGTCGTGTCCTCAGCTGCCCTCGACCTTTTGCACTCGTGACTCCCTGGCCAGCGAGGGCCTAGCGGGCTGCAGCAGGTGCTGGGTGTGGGGTAAGGTTGTCTGAACGACCTTCGTTTGGGATGCACTCTTCTTCCCCTTCACCTGGAAATGATAGAGGATTACAAAGAACTGTAAGGTTGCCTCCTCTTTCCTTTGGCCTTAGGTTTCTGACCTCCTGCAGCCTCCTCTTGCCTCGGGCTGCCCAGATCTTGACGGCTGAGGCTGCCTTACCTTCCAGCCGTTCCTTCATGGGATTTGCTGCCCCCTTCACCAACAAGCGAAAGGCTTACTCGGAGCGTAGAATCATGGGGTAAGCATCCTCTGCCCTGCATCCTTCCACTTCCCCTTTCTCTCCAAATAACCATGTCCAGGCAACAATGTCAGGGTATCATTGGTGGGCAAGATTTATCCCTAGCCATCCTCCTCCACAGCTACAGTACTGATCCAAACCTTCCCTGCCAGCCTCCCGACCTTAATTTTTCCCATCTTGGCTGCTGTGAATGGTGCATTAAGTGAAATGAGACTAGGGTTGGACTATACCTTAAGACAACAGGGTGTAGCTGGGTGCGGTGGCTCACGCCTGTAATTCCAGCACTTTGGGAGGCTGAGACGGGCGGATCACTTGAGGTCAGAAGTTTGAGACTAGCCAACATGATGAAATCTTGTCTCTACTAAAAAAGTACAAAAATCAGCCTGGTGTGGTGGCGGGCACCTGTAATCCCAGCTACTGGGAGGCTGAGGCAGGAGAATCGCTTGAACCTGGGAGGCAGAAATTGCGGAGAGCTGAGATTGCACCACTGCACTCCAGACTGGGCGACAGAGCAAGACTGTCTCAAAAAACAAAACAAATAAGACAACGTGGTGTATTTTTCTGGGTGGCCATTAAAAATTTTTTTTGTGGGTACATAGTATGTGTAAATATTTGAAGCATAATCTTTTTAATATATTTTGAGCATAATAGCTAACTTATCAAGCACTTGCTACATGCTAGCAGCTTGACTTAAATGTTTTACATATATTTTTCTCATTTAATCCTTACAACAAACCTATAAATCAGGTGAGAAAATGAAGACACAGGTAATTTACCTAAGGCCACATTGTTAGAAAATTGTTAGAGCTGGGATCTGATCCTTGTGTGATCACCAGTAAAACTGACAGCCTCTCTGTTCTCCCTAGATGGTCCCTCTTTTTTTTTTTTTTTTTTTTTTTTTTTGAGACGGAGTTTCGCTCTTGTTACCCAGGCTGGAGTGCAATGGCACGATCTCGGCTCACCGCAACCTCCGCCTCCTGGGTTCAGGCAATTCTCCTAACTCCGCCTCCCTAGTAGCTGGGATTACAGGCACGTGCCACCATGCCCAGCTAATTTTTTTTTTTTTTTTTTTTTTTTTTTTTTTTTTTTTTTTTTTTTTGAGACGGAGTTTCGCTCTCGTTACCCAGGCTGGAGTGCAATGGCGCGATCTCGGCTCACCGCAACCTCCGCCTCCTGGGTTCAGGCAATTCTCCTGCCTCAGCCTCCTGAGTAGCTGGGATTACAGGCACGTGCCACCATGCCCAGCTAATTTTTTGTATTTTTAGTAGAGATGGGGTTTCACTATGTTGACCAGGATGGTCTCGATCTCTTGACCTCGTGATCCACCCGCCTCGGCCTCCCAAAGTGCTGGGATTACAGGCTGGAGCCACCGCGCCCGGCCCCAGCTAATTTTTTTGTATCTTTAGTGGAGACGGGGTTTCACCTTGTTGACCAGGATGGTCTCGATCTCTTGACCTCGTGATCCGCCCGCCTCGGCCTCCCAAAGTGCTGGGATTACAGGCTTGAGCCACCACGCCCGACCTAGATGGTCCCTCTTAAAATAAAAATAATGCAAAAGTATTCTGTAAACTGCAAAACATAAGGCAACAGTATCATAAGGATTTGCACCTTTGCTTTTGAGAAGTTATTCATCCAGGCTTATTTGGGATCTCTAGTTCCTGAAGGGGTATGGTTAGTGGGCAAAGGTATGAATTAGGGGCCTATAGCAAGGAGGAACCTGACCCAGCTGGCAGTTCCTTGGCTGTGATTCCTCTTCTTCTAGGTATTCAATGCAGGAGATGTATGAGGTGGTGTCCAATGTCCAGGAGTATCGCGAGTTTGTGCCCTGGTGTAAGAAGTCTCTGGTGGTATCCAGCCGTAAGGGTCACTTGAAAGCCCAGCTGGAGGTTGGCTTTCCACCTGTCGTGGAACGTTACACCTCTGCAGTTTCCATGGTCAAACCTCACATGGTCAAGGTGAGGCCTGTATGGGAGGGATTGATAAGATTTTTTCTCTTTAGCACTTTTATATTGAAGTGCTATTTTGGCCTTTGTAATGACTCTATCTCGATGTGTCAAGTAATTCCCTAATACCAGAAAAAAAGAAAATGGTTTTCAATTCCTTTGTATTGTATCCTATACTTAGTAATGTTATTTAACTACCTGATTCTCCTATTTTAGGCTGTTTGTACTGATGGCAAGCTCTTCAACCACTTAGAGACCATTTGGCGATTCAGCCCTGGTATTCCTGCCTATCCCCGAACCTGCACTGTGGACTTTTCAGTGAGTCAGGAGGCTGTGTAGCAGACAACTAGGACTGGGTATGGGGAAGGGCTGGGGTGCTGTGTCAGGGTTATTTATTTTTTTGAGATGGAGTTTTGCCCTGTTGCCCAGGCTGGGAGTGCAATGGTGCAATCTCGGATCACTGCAACATCTACCTCCTGGGTTCAAGCAATTCTCCTGCCTCAGCCTCCCAAGGAGCTGAGATTTCAGGTGCCCACCACCATGCCCGGCTAATTTTTCTGCTTTTAGTAGAGACAAGATTTCACCATTTTGGCCAGGCTACTCTCAAACTCCTGACCTCAGGTGATCCATCCACCTTGGCCTCCCAAAGAGCTGGGATTACGTGCCTGGCTGGTTATTCTTTAAGTATAGATAGCACTTAATATTCCCCAAGTCACAGTTTCCACAGGTCTGAGCTTGTATCAGACTTGTAATCTGTGCTCAGTCTCAAGTTAGGGCCCTTAAGGGGATTCAAGGAACTGGAGCCAGCAGGGGGAGGAAAGGCACTGAGGAACGGTTAACCTTGCATTTGGCCAGGGACTATCCAACGTTGTCTAGAAGAGTTTCTGACTGTCTCTTATCTATTCCCAGATTTCCTTTGAATTTCGTTCTCTGCTGCACTCCCAGCTGGCCACCATGTTTTTTGATGAGGTTGTCAAACAGAATGTTGCTGCCTTTGAGCGTCGGGCAGCCACCAAGTTTGGTCCAGAAACAGCCATCCCCCGTGAACTAATGTTCCATGAGGTGCACCAGACTTGAGGCAAGGGATTGTTCTCTAACCTCCCTTCTATCCCTCTTCCCTATCCAATTCTTTTTTTTTTTTTTTTTTTTTTTGAGACGGAGTTTCACTCTCGTTATCCAGGCTGGAGTGCAATGGCGCGATCTCAGCTCACCACAACCTCCGCCTCCTGGGTTCAGGCAATTCTCCTGCCTCAGCCTCCTGAGTAGCTGGGATTACAGGCACGCGCCACCATGCCCAGCTAATTTTTTTTGCATTTTTAGTAGAGACGGGGTTTCACCACGTTGACCAGGATGGTCTCGATCTCTTGACCTTGTGATCCAACCGCCTCGGCCTCCCAAAGTGCTGGCATTACAGGCTTGAGCCACCGCGCTCGGCCCCCTATCCAATTCCCTTATTTATTTGGTTTGGCTCCTGCTCCAGTTTGAGAGGAGTCTGTGTTCGTAATACTGTTTCTCCTCTCAATTCCCTAGAAATTGGGTTCTATGCTGGCTGGAAAGGTAGGGGGAAACAGAAGACAAAGGATGTGGAAATGAGATGTGCCTAGGAAAGGGTCAGGCCCATCATGGGAGCATCATGTGCCTGCAGACTTTTCACTATGAATTAGAATAAGGACTATGTGGTTGTCTCTGGGCCTTATTAACACACCTTAGTGTCTGACCAGGGCAAGAGAGTAACTTAGTTCTAAGGATTGAATAAACTGACCTTTTCTTCCGGCGTAGAGGTACTGAGTGGTAACTTTTACCCTGCCTGATATTCCTCAGGATAAAAGACAACCTGCCTCCAGCCTGAAATACATAAAGCCTCATTTTAAGACTGTAAGTCCATGCTGCCTGGCTACTAGAGAGCAAGGGGCTTTCTTACCATCAGTGCCGAGGAGAAAAGTGCTAAACGGGGTTGTCTTTGTACTCTCAAGTTGTACCTTATTCTTCCACTTGGCCTGAATTTTTATAAAATTTCAATAAATTGTGACAGTGTGAAATTTGGCTTTATTATATTGTTTCTTGGGATAATAATGCAGATATAGTAGAGTAAAAGAAAGCTATGGCTTCTTTCCCCGGGGGAGTGAAGTTGTAAGAAGGCCTCTTGGACATAGTGTCCCTGCTAACTATAGTAGCACATTCTACAAGCCAGGACCTAGTATCCACCCCCCCTTGCCTATTTATAGACTTTTTCAGAAGGTCAGTTGCAGCAGGGATATCAGAACAGAATCATCTGGTCTCGGACCTCCCATATATGTGATGCCCTCAGGACCACCTCTTATTTTTGGGACCTCCTTCAGGGAAGCTGAAAAGATCAGGCACTCCAAGAAATACCAGAGCCCTCTAGTGGCTTAGGTCCGGAGGTACCTGAGGTAGCCATAATAGCCCATTTGTCCTTGATAATTTGTTCCTTTCACTCAGTGGGCTAGACCAGTTCTTGGATTAGTCACATGAGAATTGACAGTCTCAGCTATAGCCCTTGTTATATGTTACCTTACAACAAAATTAGCAAGATTAGGGTTTAAACATCAAGGACTTCCTAACCTTGAGGAAGAACGGAAGTGTCCTTTGGAAATCTCTCAGGAAGGCTTTCCTCTGCTTAAGGTAAAACAAAGCCAAACCTACCTAAAGATAAATGGATGTAGAACACTACTTATAATCCACTAAGTTCAGGATCGTGGTAGCCAGATTCTTTTTTTTTTTTTTTAAGACGGGGTTTCACCATGTTGATCGGGCTGGTCTTGAACTCCCGACCTCAGGTGACCCACCCACCTTGGCCTCCAAAGTGCTTGGATTACAGGTGTGAGCCACCACGCCTGGCTGGTAGCCAGATTCTTTACCTCATAATAAAGATTCTTCCAGGCCTTATTTAATAGCAGGCTCAAGCATTGTTAATAAAAACATTTATTTTGCATTTTATACAGAACAACCTGAAGTCTGCACCATGACTTGACAGTTACCCAGGGGTTTACAGTGTGTCCAACTCAAGTGCGGTTCTGGGACTGGGGATCCACACAAACACAGGCAGGAGTCTGGAGAGAAGATAGGGGCACAGCAGGAGTGTATCTCAATCCTTTCTCAAAGAAAAGGCAGTAGAACATTGAGTTGCTGAAAACCTGTGCAAATGGGGCTTCTAAAACAAACATTGTACTGTGAGCTCTCAGGGAAGAGGGAGAAAAAGGATGCTGATAAATAAGGAGGCATCTTCTTGAGGCAGGGGATGAGGAGGGAGGCTTACTATTTTAATGCCCTCAGCCCCAGTACCTGATAATCAGAGGAGACCATGTTCAATCTTGAATCAATTCTCTGTTCAAAAAGAGGTGCTAACAACCCAGGGACTAGACTCTGAAAATAACATGCTGGTTATTCCTGAGTCCCTGCTCTATGCCTCACAGCATATTAAAAGATGGGGGTCTGGGGACTGGGGAGGCCAGAGGGTAGTGGCTTTCATTCTATGGAAGTAAAAAACTTAGTTCACATTAAGCACTGATAAAACCCAAGGACTGGGACCACAGATCTGTTGAGAGGTCTCTAGTACGGACCAAGAGGGGAGGTCCAGAACATCCTCAGCTTGAGGTGCAATAGGTGTAAAGTCTGGGAGGAGGTGAGTATTAAAGTAATGGGAAACAGAACACTCCCAGACCTTAATTTTAATTGGATAATTTTAAAAAAGAAATCAAACATTGGGTGCCAGTCACAACAAATGCCATGCCTTTTATGGTCACTTGGTCACATAAAAAAATTGCCAAAGCATGTCCAGCAAACCAATAGGTCTTGCTAGGAGGTGTTTGAGTGCATGGGAGAGGGCCAAGGGGCTTGGTACAGCTGACTATCCATCATGATTCCTATGGAAACAGAAGGGGCAGAGTCCTGGTTTACTGGCTTATTGAGGGCTTGGCAGAGAAGAAGCAAAAGCTCCAAAGTGATTGCAGATTCTCTGTAACCAGCTTTGACCCATGGAAAGAGGAGCCAGATTCTCACTCTAGAGATAGTGGGGGGGCCAAACCTAACTCATACCACATGCATTAGTCCTGGCCATCCTCCAGGGCCACCCCTATGATGGGCAACTCATACCAGGCAGGGAAGAGGGCTGATTAGGGAACAAGGGATCATTTTTCATCTTTTAAAGTCTTAATTTATATTTTAACCTCAAAGACATTATCAGTGCCTCAGATATAATTTAATCTTAAGTCTTTAAAGGCCCCCTGAAACAAAAGTATACTCTTTATTTAGGCTTCCTCACTTTCTAGTAGTCACTTTCTCCCAGTCTCCGGTTTTACCCTGACTTAGAGTCCACAAACTTCATCAGACCCTCTGTGCTCATGGACTTGGGCCTTTCTAGAGGGAAGCCTAAGGCTCGGCTCCAGATGAGCTGTGCCAGTACACCCAATGCGCGTGACACCCCAAACAGGACCGTGTAGTAATTCATTTCCGTCATTCCATAGTACTGTAAGGTAAAAGAGAAAAAGGTTTTGTGTAAGGCAGAGGCAGTGACATGTACAAGTCCTGGGTGATAGAAACCTTAAAAGCTCAATTATCCCTTTTTCTCCAAGGACTTACCCAGTCAACCTTAAATAGAAATGACACTGCGAAAAGTATAGCAATTGGGATTCTGAAAAGAGAACAACCCCAACCCCAACCCTGTCATATTAACTTTATCAAAAGGCTCTGTGAGGGAGGTCCTTGCTCTGATAGGAGTTAGTTGACTTTGTGCATGGCAGATAACAATAGGGTTTGGTACAAAATAGAGGGAAAAGAGGGAAAGGAGGACTTACCTGAAGCAGCACCCCACTGTGAGCATCTACATTGGGCCAAGGGTTCTTGGCCTTACCCTGCTCTAAAAGGACATTGGGCACAATCTTGTATAGCTGAGCAACCAACTTAAACATGGGGTCATTAGGCAGGTGTTTCAGAGCAAACTCTCGCTGACAGGTATATCGTGGATCAGTCTTTCTTAGTACTGCATGGCCATAGCCTGGAACAACCTGTAAAGAATGAGGAAAAAAGTATTCTCAGTAGAAATTATTTTATTTTTTGAGACAGGATCTCGCTCTGTCACCCAGGCTGGAGTGCAGTGGCATGATCACATCTCCCGGCAGCCTCCCAGGCTCAGGCAATCCTCCCATTTTAGCCTTCCAAGTAGCTGGGACCAGCACACCAATACACCTGGATTTTTTTTTTTTTTTGGGGGGGGTAAAGATGGGGTCTGGCCGGGCACAGTCACTCACACCTGTAATCCCAGCACTTTGGGAGGCCTATGCGGACAGATCACCTGAGGTTGGAAGTTCGAGACCAGCCTGATCAACATGGAGAAACCCTGTCTCTACTGAAAATACAAAATTAGCTGGGCGTGGTGGCGCATGCATGTAATCCCAGCTACTTGGGAGGCTGAGGCAGGAGAATCACTTTAACCCAGGAGACAGAGGTTGTGGTGAGCAAAGATTGCGCCATTGCACTCCAGACTAGGCAAAAAGAGTGAAACTCTTGTCTCAAAAAAAGAAAAGAAAAGAAAGATGGGGTCTCTGTTGCTCAGGCTAGTCTCAAACTCATGGGCTCAAGCCATCTATCCACCCTGGCCTCCCAAAGTGCTAAGATTATAAGCCTGAGCCACCACACTCAACCTATTCTTATTATTTATTTATTTTTTTTAGAGACAGGGTATTACATTGTTGTCCTGGCTGGAATACAGTGGCTATTCACAGCAGTGATCTTAGCACCCTGCAGCCTTGAACTCCTGGCCTCAAGCAACCCTCTTGCCTCAGCCTCCCAAGTAGGTGAGAATACCGGGGTCCATGCCATTGTGCCCAGCTAGAAGTTATTTTCTAAATAAATTCTTCTAGGTAGATAAATGGAAAAAGAAAAAAAAAATCTCTAATTTAGAGACCTCTTTCATTCTTGTCTTCTTGAGATGGAGTCTGGCTCTGTTGCCCAGGCTGGAGTATAGTGGCATGATCCTTGGCTCACTGCAACCCCCGCCTCCTGGGTTCAAGCAGTTCTCCTGCCTCAGCCTCCTGAGTAGCTGGGATTCCAGGCGCCTGCCACCATGCCCAGCTAATTTTTTGTATTTTAGTAGAGACGGGGTTTCACCATATTGCCCAGGCTAGTTGCAAACTCCTGAGCTCAGGCAATCCACCTGCTTCGGCCTCTGTAAGTGCTGGGATTACAGGCGTGAGCCACCACGCCTGGCCCATTCTTTTCTTCTTAATTCTTCCAAATTGCAGAACTTGGGTCTTGGTTTCTTTCCTAGTCGTTAAGCATCTCTGCTTACCCGTCCTGAGTTGAGTGTGTTCCAGATGTAGTCTCGTAACTTCTCATCTGACACATCTTTGCCAACTTCCTTCTGTAGCTGTGTTAGCCAAACAAGCACTTCCTATGGGAAAGGTTTAGGGAAAAAAGGAATGTTAATACATATGCCAGGAGAGAATGCCAAGATCAGAAACAAAGGATGGGGTAAGGAAAACATGTATTGAGAAAATAAAAAGAATAGTCTTACCTGGTTTGCCAGTCCATGGAGAGGTCCTGCCAGCCCGTTCATGGCTGCTGCAAAGGACAGGTAAGGGTCTGAAAGGGCACTGCCCACCAAGTGGCTGGTATGGGCACTTACATTGCCGCCCTCATGGTCACTGCAGGGAAGAAGGGAGAGCCAAGGGGAGAAGGGGCAGATTATGGAAGCCTTGCTGTTCTCTTATTTGTCACTTACTAGCCTAGTTATGGGCTCATGCCAGCCTATACCCAGTCAGTTATACCTAAGCTCTTGTATAAGACATCCTAAGACCAGGCGCAGTGGCTCATGCCTGTAATCGCAGCACTTTGGGAGGCTGAGGTGGGTGGATCATAAGATCAGGAGTTCAAGACCAGCCTGGTCAAGATGGCGAAACCCTGTCTCTGCTAAAAATACAAAAATTAGCTGGGTGTGGTGGCACGTCCCTGTAGTCCCAGCAGCTTGGGAGGCTGAGACAGCAGAATAGCTTGACCCTGGAAGGTGGAGGTTGCAATGAGT